GGTGAAAAAGCAAGTGATACTTGTATCACCTTGTAATGACTACTCATGAATTGATAGTAATCTTGTAAACTTGTTATCTATAGAGATAAATAAAATTGAAGTGTCTGTTTGTAATGTCAAAATAACAGTGTTTTACTAAGCATATGAAATTATATACGGTACTTATAAGAAAAACACAAATTTTAACATTTTTGTCTGTCTGTCTGCTTGTTCCGGATAATCTCTGAAACGCCTCGACTGATTTTGACGCGTATTTCACTGTAAGATAGCTGATGATATAGGGAGTAACATAGACTTCTCAAGAATGTACCTAGTTACGCTAGTTGAAAATAAAACTGAGATAATCTTAAATAAAAAAAAACAGGTTTGATTAGTTCTGTTAGTAGGTTATAAAGATTTCTGTTTTATAAAACAAGCAAGATATTGAAAAATACTATTATTACTTTACGTTTTCTTTAGTATAAATGTTCCGCCATCCTATGTTGCTTTGAAAATTACAATAAGGTGTCACGTAATTTACTAAATAGGTTTTGGTTTATTTTTTTTATTGAAAATCAATAAAAAAAAAATTGTTGATTTTTATGTGACAAAAAAAAATAAAAATGAATGGTCCAATCATCGCATGGATTTAAATTGTTTTTCTTTGGCATTTTATAATAATTGTTCCTGTAACCTATTACTTCAAGCCTAGGTGAATATTTCAATGGCTTTGTTATATTGTGATGAAATCTTTTGCGGCGAGCGTGCATCAGTACCTACTTGATGCTTGCAACATAGACTCCGTAAATGCATTCGTTATACAAGTATTTTCTCATGGCTATTATAATATTATTGTATAAATGTTTCTGAGTTTTACACATAACATTTAAATAATTTATAAAAATCGTTAAAAAATCTTTTGATTTTCTATTACAGTATCGAATATTAATAAAAAAAGAAGGAATAAAATATTTTTATCTCTCGTCCAATTTTTAAATTAATCAGGCTTAATTTTTGAAAACTATTTTTGAATGTATAATTATTAATTGTGTTAGTAGTATCTACTACTACAGTAAAGGTTTTAAAAAGAAATAAAAAAAAGGTTTTAAAAAAAAACATAATTTTAAATTAAATAGAGAAATCAGAAAACAATAATTTTAGAACAGATACCTACTGTTTCATTAAATAAGTTCCACCAAATTCAGGTCCATTATCGGAAAATAGCGAAATCTGTAAATGAAATAATTGTTAATTTAAGCAATTATGTTTTGCAAAACAAAATTTATAGTGTCATCAAAATTTATTTTAAAATATATTCGAAAATAACATTAAAAATGTAAGTAATAGTATAAAAAATGTTTATAAGACAAAAATATCGAAAGTGCTTACTATAAGACTTCCGCGATACCATTCAGACAAAGAGAGACAATAGCATTCCCATGGAGGGTTGACGTCAGGCAGGCGGCCGGTAAAGTCAGTCCTTTCAGCAGTACAGAAGATGTACTGCGCCGACCCCAAGTGATTGGAAAATGGGCTGGGAGAAGAAGGAGAAGATGTATTGTGTACCTACAGAATATAGACCCCATAACCATTGTTTTTGAAATGTTTGTTTCTGAATATCTGTTTACTATTCACGCCAAAAGTACTGAATGAATTTTAACAAATTTTTTGTAAAGCGATACTTATTACTCTGGTTAATAATAAGAAGCATATCTTTTACTACAGGAATATCTCCCTAACAACAATTACTGCTTTGGCCGAGTTAATTTTTTCTTAAAAATTTTAAGATCGTTCCTACAAAAAAAAGAATCTTTTACGGTTTTAAACATTAAGTAGCAGTTAAGACAAAAACAAAGTAAATTTAAAAAGAGACTGGCGATAACGCTCGTACGAGTATATGGAGTATATATAACAAGAGACTGCATTTTTGATCCAATCTTAATTTTTTTATCATAATAACAAGTCCGTCAATTGTCGTGGACTCACTATCCTTATGTTAGGAAATGCATTTACGCATACCACCTGTAGACATACACATGGTTATGCGGGACTCACCGGCTCGAAAAGCAAAAGTGGACTTTCCTGCCTGTTTGGCGATCGGGAAATTCAAATAAATACAAGGCGTGAAAATGATGCTGAAGAAGTTTTTATAAATAAAAAAATATATTAGAGACGCTCCCCTCCATTCATGGGAATCTCCTCTTGATGTATTGTGTTAAAATTTACAATGTAGTTAATCTCTAGCCTATTTAAACCACGCGACGGAAAACCAAAAAAAACTTTTTTTGCTCTTCGGCGATTTAAATTAATTTTCCGCGAGCATCGTATACCTACTCATTAAATATTATGAATTTTAATTTATGTAAGCATATTTGGTATATGAAGATTCAAGCAATATGTTATTTATTTTAAAGATTTCTTATTTTTGTGTTAAAACAGTTGAGCAAACCACTACACTACAGTAGGACACGGTTTATTAATCAGTCTATTAGTATTATAAATGTGAAAGTTTGTATGTGTGTGTATGTTTGTTACTTCTTCTCATTATTAATTGACATTAGCAATATTGATTTGGATCCATCAATGTAGAGAATACGGTATGTGTAGATAAACGTAACAATATTTACCTTCTTATTATTAAAATTAGTGACTCACCTTCGCTTCGCTCGGGCTCGTTTAGGGCTTTCGTTTAGTTTTATTGGTTAGGACGCTTGCGATTATCGCGCACAAACGCACAGAGAAAGAAACGAACTGACAATAAGGCAAAAATTCTAAATATCATTCTATTGCGTTAATAAAGATCCCCCAATAATAGATTTTCTCAAATATCTTCCATGTACGGACAGCGATCAGTTACAAATTTATTATATATATGACATGATATGATTTTATGATAAGAATGTGATCGTAAATGAAGGAAAAAGTAAGAAATATCTCAACAAAATGCTCCAGAAAATCATAAACCGGTGGCAGTGCTGGACTTACACTAGGGGCACTCGGGGCTAGTGCCCAGGACGGTAAATTTTCAGGAGCGGCAAAATTCAGAGGGTGAAGAAAAATCTTAATGTTATCGAAAATTTTTTTTGTATTTTCCAAAAAATAATTATTAATGATTTTTTTTTCGAAAAATTAATAATAAGAAGAAATTAAACTTTATCCATTTTATGCAAAATTTCGATAATGAGGCGGCATTTTATACAATGCTCAGTGCACTGACTGATGGCATATAACTACAACGAAACTTAACAATTTCACTTAATTAACTACTACTAATTATTTTATTATTGTGTGCTATTATTTTATCTTTATATAAGCTCCTGATTAAAGAATAAGAAGAAAAATAATAAGAAGAAAAAGAAAAAATCTATTTAAATCTTTTCTATTCTCTATAAGGGATAGAGTAGCGCACGAATATAATAAACACGAAATTTCACGAACGAATTATATAGATTTGAATAGATAAAATTAGGCATTGGGGTAGTCTATGTTTTTCATTAATATGTAAATTTTATTGTTAAGCCAACTGCGTAAGTATACATATGTATAATGTATATGTATTTGAACAAGTGCCGTTTCATATGAATACCTATGTTTTAATTTTATAATTATAAAACAAGTAGCCATTGTTTATATAAAGGCTTCAAGACAATATGTAATTGTACCTTGCCATTTAGGTACATACATTCATTAGAGTAGTAAAATTTAAAGTTATTGAACTGGTCAAGTTCTTGAGCAGGTTAATGTTCCTACTTAGTTATGTATGTCACAAACGAGACGACGTTTGCCGGTAGTTTCTTTATCTTTTCCACAAGTTATTTATATTAATTACTAGCATTGCACGCGGCTTCGCCTGCGTTCAGATGACCAAAAACTAAATTCTTAGGTTTTACATATTAGTATACTCTTACAATGCAGTTTTTGTATTTTTTTCTCAGAAATGAGATTTTCTCGCCGTAAAAAGTATCCTATATATTGACCCGGATAACCAGCTATCATCATACCAAATTTCATCAAAATCTGTCCAGTGGTTCTCTCGTGATGTGGTAACAGACAGACAGACAGACAACAATTCTAAGAACTATAGATTCGGACTCTGTATCGATATATATATCGATTATTTACAACTAGCGACGCACCCTCGCTTCGCTCGGGTTCGTCCCTAATTACGTTTTAAATTAAAATGGATATAGTATATTATCCTTAAGAGATAGACATATGCTATCGTGGACTTTTCTGTAGACCTATATAAGATACACAATTCCACCATACATTATTTTGTTATATCTAAAAGGATTTAGGCAGCGTTTTCGTTGAAAGCTCCCAGACGTCTTATTTTTTCCGACACCTCCAACAAATATCGTTATATTTTAGCCAATGTATATAAAAACTTAACAAATTATATACTAAAACCTTCCTCTTGAATCACTCTATTTATTAAAAAAACCGCATCAAAATCCGATGCGTAGTTTTAAAGATTTAAGCATACATAGGGATATAGGGACAGAGAAAGCTACTTTGTTTTATACTATGTAGTGAAGGGTACCGTTTAATTTTGACTGTCCATTCGGCATTTACCTTTGGATAGCATAAGCTAATATTGACATCGTTACGTAATTTGGTTCTCAAAGATGAGACAGTAAAAATTCCACAGCAATCAGTTCTTCGTGAGAAATCTGAAATCATTTTAAATTTAATAGTTATAAGTTTTAAGTAGTTTTAATTTCAATATATCTTCAAGAAAATAATTTCTTGGGTTACTTAAAGGTTTTTTCTTGTAATATAGCATAGTTTTTCCGATTACATCTTAAATCAAGTGACATTGTTGAAACGTAAAGCATAGTGACAATAATATTTATTTTTCAGATAAACACGGACTCGATAAATTTCCATGCATCTAGCAAGTAGAACCGTGATCGTATTTGTGGGAGGTCTGACGGCTAAGAGTTTTCCCACGCAAGACTTCCCCTTCACATGAAAAGTGAAACGATCTTCCAGCAACTAGATCTTTTAACGATACAAAAATGCAGTTTGTACGCGCCTTCTTCAAACGGATCACAGATGATCTCAAACTTAAAAAACTTATACCTCTCAAAATATTGTTTTTTGTACATGCTTCTAGTAAGTACATACTAATATATTATTTATTTATGATAGAACACTAGTGTTTATTTTCGGAATGGATTTTGCGAAGGTCAAAAGTTATACTACGTGAGATTCGTAGGTATATCAAATAATATGATATGGATATTTATTATTGACTTGCGTACTTTAATATTTTTAAATTTGACGACACGTTTGGCTCAGTTTGTAGTGACCCTATTTACTGTGCCAGCGGTTGCGGGTTCGAGTCCCGCTGGGGGAATTCATTTGTGTGATGAGCACGAATGTTTATAATATGTATGTATTTAAAGTTATATATATATATGTAGTGTATCAACTATCTGGTATCCATAACACAAGCCTCGTAGCTTACCTTGGAACTAGATGGTGCTGTGTGTTAATGTAAAAAAAATATACTAATAATAATAGAGGTTTCATTTTTAGCGCTGTTTGTTCTATATCCATATTTGACAATACACATGCGAGAATTGGGCATCAATGTGGAGGAGACTGCTATTATGTCAGCAGTGACGCCGGTCATCTCGATCGTGATGCCGCCGCTTGCTGGTATGTTGGCAGATAAAATAGGCAATTTCAGGGTAAGTATACGCAAAATAGTTTTCGTTGAAATTTACTTTTTATCCATTTGTTTTAAGTCGTCTAATACTTACAATGTATGAGGAGTAAAACTCTTATATAATTAGAGGTCTTGGTAAAAGTTTGCAACCGACTCGTAGTGGTGAGATTTCACTTTGGATTTACCATTCAATATCTTAATATTGTATACGAGAAATAAATATTTATAGCTTATTTATCAATGTTCTTTATTAAAAGCTTTTATTAAAAAAATCACAATCGTGGCATTGTAGGGGCTTCCACTTTAAATTTACTTTTTTTATTTTCGATTTAACAACACCTACGTCTTTTAGTCATTGAAAAAATCCAAAACATATATGTTTATTCTTATATTATTTATTTCAATTACTTTTAGGAAGTCTTGTTTTGTATATCAAGTATCTTACCGCAAATGTTCACTAAACCAGGTTGACTTTGTAACATTAGCTTTTGATGGTTGATTATTGTATACAAAATTGATAATGCTTTGATATACCTATGATTTGTATGGCTTAATTAAATGAAGCTAATCTACAATGCTGCTAACGCAAATTACATCCAATTCTGGTTTCAATAACCTTTACCTTGTATTGTGTATGTATTATGGCTCGTCGCTCGTCCCGCTCTATGTGAGCTTGTATGCTGTGTTTGCGTCACAACGCAGACCGTTCGAGCCGGAAGCGTCGGTGACATGTATTGGTGTACTCGCCTCGCCAATACGAGGATCATTGCTTTTGTGAACAAATCTGTCTATAGAGATTCAATATATTATAATACTAGCATTGCCCGCGTTCAGATGACCAAAAACCAAATTCTTAGGTTTTACGTATTAGTATATTCTTACGTAGCAGTTTTTATATTTTTTCTCAGAAATGAGACATTTTCCCGCGGTAAAAAGTATCCTGTATGTTGACACGGATAACCAGCTATCATTATACCAAATTTCATCAAAATCTGTCTAGTGGTTTTCTCGTGATGCGTTAATAACAGACAGACAGACACAAAAATTCTAAAAACTATAGATTCGGACTCTGTATCGATAATAATGTCTATTTCAAAAAGTTTTTCCAAAAAATATCTAATGTACAGATTCGGTTTAGTTACAATTTTATTATATGTATAGGTTATGCAGCAATATAATATTTTTTTCATATATATTAATAGTACAATATACTATTAATAACGATTTTTTATTGCTTTTTTGCTTTATCCATAGCTCTATAGAAATTGTAGGCTATGTGAGCAACATAATAAACTATTTTAATTAAGTATAATTATAATTGCAATGCAGCGACATAGCTGTTAATAAATTATGAATTTTCCGAGAACATTTACGGTGTATGCACACTAAACTTGTATATACCTACATATGTCTATTTTCATTGTTGTTATCCAATCACAATTGTGGCAGAAAATGTCGGTTTGATCATTTACGCTAATCATTCTTCTTAAACGTTTCATCCTGTTTTTTACTAAGCCACTAATTTGTTTATTAGATGCTGTTTTATTTTCCTATTGAATGTCATCACATGACTTGTTAATTTCGTATAAATAGCACAAATTAATTTTATCAGCGAACAATTGAAACGAAATATAACTAACTTGACCTACTGCTTAGCTAAGTTTATGTACACATTTTTAATTTATAGAATACCTATATATATATACTAGCGGTTCACCCTCGCTTCGCTCGGGTTCACCTCTAGAAAAGCACAATCAGATCTATCCCACGGGAATCGTTCATTTTTCCGGGATAAAAATTAGTAACCAGTTGTTTGACCTCCAATATAAGGTATCAGCACGCCAAATTTTACTAAATTAGGTGCATAAGTTGTTGTGTACTGAGCTGTATAAGTTACTATAATTTTTTAACTATCCCACGGGAACTCTTTAATTTTCCGGAATGAAAAGTATCAAATTTCATTTGTGTATTCAGCCCTTTTTATCGTCCCACTGCTGGGCACGGGCCTCCCTTCAGTACGAGGGGAATCAGGCCATAGTCCACCACGCTGGCCAAGTGCGGGTTGGCGGACTTCACATGTCTTTAGAAAACTTGCTAAGTTCTCTCAGACATGCAGGTTTCCTCACGATGTTTTCCTTCACCGTAAGGCAAGTGGTAATCATGTTAGAAATGATTCGCACATGAAAATATCAGAGGTGCGAGACCCGGGATTTGAACCCGCTTCACTCGGTTTCTCAAGCGAGCGCGTTACCACTGGGCTACCACTGCCTTTTTATTTCATCAAATTTCATTTAAATAGGTTCAATAGTATCGGAGATTAGCCCGTACGAACAGACAAACAGACAGAGAAACAAAAAATTTGAAAAAATCTGATTTTTTCTATTTCTCTCCTTACGTGATTTAAAAAGAGAACTGACTCGTTTTTTAGCAATTTTTTCTACTATCTATGTACAGACATTCGACCTCTACAGTTTTATTATTCATATATGTACCTATATTCAGATAGAATAAATGACGTATAATAAAACAGAAATATATAATAATGAAAATAGTTATAGCGAGTGTACCTTAGGAGATAGAGATATACTATGTAGAACTTTTCTATAGACCTTTTTAAGACTTACAATTTTCTTGTACAATGTTTTGATCTATCTCTTAAGGTTGAGCCAACGTTAGCCATATAAATTTCTAAGGACAATTCGATAGAACCAGTTATTGTATTTTCCCGTGGAAATGAATAATTTGCCTGTCGTAAAAATTATTCTAATGTTGACCCGAGCACTAAGTTTTATCATTATACAAAATTAAGTTAAAATCGGTTGAGTACTTTTTGCGTGAAACGCGCACATCGATTTGACTAAGTTTTATTATAGGTATAGATAAGAATAAATATTGCGAGTGTAACTTAGGAGATAGACATATACTACTATTATGAACTTTTCTGTAGGACTTTTCAAGACCTACAATTTTTTAGTATATTGTTTTGATGTATGTCTTAAGGCTTAGCCAGAGGGAGGTTTCTAGGGAGGAATCGATAAAACCAGTTATTGTATTTTCCCATGGGAAAGAAAGATTTTCTTTAAGTAAAAGGTATCTAGGCAGTGGTATCCCAGTAGTAACGCGCTCGCTTGGGAAACCGAGTGAAGCAAGTTCAAATCCCGGGTCTCGCACCTCTGATATTTTCATGTGCGAATCATTTCTAACACAGTTACCACTTGTCTTAACGGTGAAGGAAAACCTGCATGTCTGACAGAACCTAGCAAGTTTTCGAAAGGCATGTGAAGTCCACCAACGCGCACTTGGCCAGCATGGTGGACTATGGCCTGATCCACCTCGTACTGAAGGGAGGCCCGTGCATGTGTTAAAATAGGGCTGAATACAACATACATACATACATACATTAAATATTTTTTGGAAAATCTTATTGAAATAAACATTATTATTTAGTATCGATACAGAGGCCGAATCTATAGTTTTTAGAATTTTTGTCTGTCTGTCTTTCTGTTTGTCTTTCTGTCTGTCTGTTACCGCATCACAGAAAAACCACTGGAGGGATTTTGATGAAATTTGGTATGGTGATAGCTGGTTATCCGGGTCAACATATGGAATACTTTTTACCGCGTGAAAATATCTCATTTCTGAGAAAAAATACAAAAACTGCAACGTAAGAGTAGACTAATATGTAACACCTAAGAATTTGGTTTTTGGTCATCTGAACGCGGGCGGAGCCGCGGGCAATGCTAGTCCAGTATATATAAATTAAACATTTGTAGATTTAGGCAATGATCTTAATATATTATTAGTGTTTAAGGATGAGAAAGTAAATGAATTCCAATTGTTTCAGCTGCTGCTAGCCTTATCTTCGGTATTAGGTGGTCTCTCAGCATTATTATTACTGACGGTCCCCGTAGGTCGCATCACTGTGACGTTCCCACCCGCTGTAGATTTGATTACTTCCTGTGATGGATCTGCGTTATATCTGCAACAAGTTCGCGAATATCCATGCGGCCCTCTCCACCCTTATGCATACGATGTAAACCTTACGTAAGTATTTAATATTAAGCTCGTAGTATCTTATTACAAAATAACCTTAGCAAGGAATCGAAGGTTAAAGTTTTTTTATATAGGTACACTTTGTAATATAATATGTTCGAAGCGTCTTGTACTTACATTAAGTTTTTTTGGATGTAGTACAATAGATCCAACCACAAAAATTTACTTTTGAGATAATAGGAGTTTTGGTAAAATTGGTATATCAAAATAACAAGACCGTGGTTCTTTTGAAATTTGTCTTAAATATTAGGGTATTTTATCTACTTATTGTATAAAAATTGATATGAAGGTGCCATTTATGACAGAACCTAACTCAAAAAACGGTTTTCGTTGGCTGGATCCATTTTGCACGATTGCGTCCATTTATGCTATCATTTAAAAGGGAAATTTATATGATGCATTTATATAATTCAATTCTCTGATAATTAGAAGACATCAATATTTTATATTTATTACTATGATTGCCTTTATACGTCCACTTTTATAAATTATTCATAAGTTTAATGTACATTGTACATTTCAGCCAACAACAAACTTAGATAAGAAAAATATTTTTTCAAAGAACAAATTGCAGCAACGTGACTTATCTTTTTATTTCCACAGTCTTTTATCGTGTGGTTTTATTTGTGAATTGCCACATCAAGTTTCTACAGAAGAAATAGACTCTATTATTCACGCCCATTCGTATGATGTACATTTAAAATCGCCTACTGCATCACAGCGTCTTGTTTATCGCAATACAATATCGGCTCTTCTAGACCATAGAGAAAAACCGATGAAAGAGCATAGTACCTCCCGAATTTTGAATAATGATCCTTACTTTAATTCGACAACATCTCGAATTGGTGAAAATAAAATATTCTTTCCAACACCACAATTATATGAATTGAGCTGTTCATATATTGGAAAAAATGCCACCTGTGTATTCGATAAATCTGATTTTGTAGACGATTCTATCGAAGAAGTTACAGAAGCGTTATTTCGAATAAGAGTTTCTCACGATGCCCAAAAAAATTCTGTTGAGGTACGAAATTATTGGGTGAATGCGATATCTGTAAACAACACTACTGGAGCAGATGATGATTATGATGGTGTCGATTCGATTACTTGCATCGATAATTTAGCTCAGGTATTTTTAACCGTTAAATATTTACTAATCGATTTGTGATCATTAACGAATCCGATTTGTTATTTAGAAGTACAAGTCGTTTATTAGCCATTTGGTATGCAAACATCCAAATATATTTACTACAAGCTGACCTACTACCTACGAACCTACTGTCCTGCCCAAATGTTAATAAAGTTTATGAGTTCATATAAAAAACTTACAGATTTTTTTTACGTTGTCCCACTATTAGTTTATAAAAAAACCTTATTCGGTCTATAATTAAGAACAAAAAAAAAACAATTAGCTAATTTGGTTCAGCTATTCTCAAATAATGTTCTTACCAACAACATATTTATATATAGAAGATTAATATTGTCAATTCGTGTCCACATACATTTTGTTTGATATATATTTAGATAGTAGATAATTTTTCCTCCATTCAGGTATATGACGATTCAGTTTGGGTGAAAGCTGGTGCGCTACGCCTGGCACAGTGTTCCGCGGCGTGTGCCGCCACCGCGCCTCGGAAGAGTCTCTGTGACAACCATCAACAGCAAATAGAACTTGATCCCGTTTTTACTTTCTGGACTTATTTAGCTGTGAGTATCACTACAACCATATTAACATACTATTTAAGGAGTAATGTGTTTATGAAGATTGCATAGTATATTAAGTTCAAAATAAGCAAAATTCCAGCCAGCCGATGCAAAGCAAATCTAATATATTTCGATACGTAAAATACATTTTTACCTATTAGATATTTATATCTTAAAATATTGTAGGCTCAGAGGCTGGAATCGACTTCGAAAATATCTGTTTAGGTATCTATTCTAAATGAAAACCTCCGTTTAGTTATTTTTTGCATTTTAGTGCCTGGTAGCCGTTTTTTTTTAAGTTTTTATTTTTCCATTTTTAGAGTAGGCGTAATAAGCAGATAATTTGTAAGAAGAAAGTTTTTAGTAACGTATTCGATTAAACAATTCATTTAAAAAAATATATTATTGTTTTTTTTTAAACCGCTCGACCGATTTCCATAAAATTTATATGGGAGCACCTGGGAAGTATACCTTTTAAAACAAAAAAAAATCCAAATCGGTTCAGGCGTCGGTGAACATACATAAAAAAAGATGCTGACGAATTGAGAACCTCCTCCTTTTTGGAGTCGGTTAATAAAACATATTAATTGGTTCTTAATTATAGTACGTGGAAAGAGATTACGATTTAGCCAATATAGCGTACTTGCCACCATTTTACGCGGACATGCCTTTACTAGTCATATTTGTGTTCATTCTTTTATTCTCAGGTAAATGTATGTAGAAGGAGAAACAATAGTAATTAATATAATATCAACGTTCAACGTAAAAAAACGATTGTTTATACAGTTTTTATATACGAGTTATCTTATATTCGGCTAATCACTTATATCTTCTTTATGCCATACGCAAGTTACTGTTTTTATATTGTAAAGTCAACATGTCTCACTCTTCTAAAAACTTGCTTTAGTGGTGAAAACTAGCCAAGTCAAATCTTGAACTTCTAAGTTATCCACTCTGTGTAAATAATTAGATTGTTCAAATTGAAGAAGTTCTATTTTTAAATAGCAAACACTTCTGTAGTAGAAAAAACAAGAAATTGTGTTTTAAATTTATTTTGGAATGTTGTTTGTTCTTATGAAAAAAAATCAGGATTATCTACAGAAATAGCCACCTATTTAGATCTCAATTCTTTTGTCGGTGAAGTTGACAACCATGGATATTCTTAATATTAAACTTGGCTCCCATTTTCACATTTATGTTTTTGATTTGACATAAGCTCTACATACCATACAAATTATGTATATTAAATTCCTATCGCTATTAATAAAAACCACAAATGGATAGGTTACTAAGGTAGTTTTAATAAAAGATTTTTCATAATCCTAAACCTAAAATATCATAATACCCCACTTTATTTACTCATTTACATAGTACTTTTATAAAAGCATTAAAGTAAAGATATTATTACAGTACGTGAGAGGTTAGAGAATCAAAGAATCACGTAAAATGAAAAAATAATAATTTAATCCCGAATTAAGGACTTCTATTTTTGAAGTCGGTTAAAAAGGAATAAAATCAAGTATAGTCTAGATAGCATGAAAATGATTTGTATGCGCATATTAAAACGAAACGATACATAAATTGTGCAGCGGATCCACTGATGGGAAGATTGTCAGTTGATCGTCACTAACTGGGTTAAATGACAAACTTATATTCGCGGTCTGACTCATTGCCACCGACCTGTTGTCCATAATTTTCATAGCAGCATCTAACGTAGTAGGTATATTAAATAATAAATAAATAAACATGTTGGAACAATAACATACAACACCATCTAGTTCCATGGTAAGTTATGGATGCCAGATAGTTGATACATTACATACATATAACTATTAAATACATACATATTTTAAATATATACACCCATGACTGGAGTCATTTGTGGTCATCACACAAATGAATCCTGAATCCCCCCAGCGGGACTCGAACCCGGACCGCAGCCACAGCATGTAGGGTCACTACAAACTGAGCCAAGCATGTCGTCAAAATTTATTATGTATTTATTCTATTCCAGCTATCATGGAAAGGGTCATTTCGTTGACATCTCTTAACACGTTCCGGGACACTTAAATTTTTTTTAGTCTCACGATATGACATTCAAAATTTCCATACATTCGAACATATCGTCCATTGCCGTATTGCCAATTTACATTATTTTTTAGTTTTGCGATAAGGCAATTACGGTCATAGACGTTAACGCCTATAGGCGGACCGTCATATTATGAATAGTTATGTACAATGTACTATGACAGTTCGGCTAGGGACGGTGCCGCCAAAAGACGGTGTGTCATATCATATAGATCTGAAAAGGTGTATTAGTGTGTAAACTTCTAAAAAAACCTACAAATTTAATACTTATAAGTTTATTGATCACAGTATGTTTTTCTAAATTCTTAAACAATATGTACCTTAAATTCTTGTTTAGTCTTATTTAGTATAAAGTAAAGAAATATATTTGAAAACAGGAGAAACTATTTGTGTGTGTTAGAACTAAGAGTTGAGTGCCATTTTTCGAAACATTATATGTATATCATCAAGTTTCGTAAGACTTCTTATCAACCTGTCTCTGTTCTCTACATATCCGTATTTCTTGTCACTATTCTTTATTCATTTTTTGAATAAAAAGAAAGAGTTCCACGACGCAACATCTAACATGTGAAAGAGTACTTTTTTGTACCATCTTATTCTTTTTCTCGGACACGAATAGTAAGAGATCATTTTATCGGCACGATCAATTCGTGGAGATGTAGAGGAGAGATTTTGGTATATCTGTTCGGTTCGATGGTGAAGATAAGATGATTCATAGGCATGGGAATGTAGGCGAGGTTCCTGAGAGCCCATTACATCCTCTTCTTCACGGTATACTATCACAGCTTGGTCATCGCAAGACTTTTCACCTATTTCCTCTTCTGTTACCGGGTTGTCATCATTCAAACTAGAATCATCCAACCGGCTTGGACGACATCTGCAAAATATAATACGTAAATACTTATAATACAAACAGTTAGTAGGTATCTAAAATAGCAGGTAAATATCATTCGAATAAAGTCTTTTATTGTCACTTGTATAACATATTTCTATCCCTACCTAAATAAAAACAACACTATAGGACAACACAACACTGATGAAAAATCAGATTTATATCATATATAGTATAAAAAAACTTTATTTACCTTGCATTTGTTGACAAAAATCACTAAACACGTACAACATAGTAAAGATTAACAGGCAGTGCGCGCGCTGTGACACTGAATTCCGAAATCACTGTACTTGTATGACTGAGTTTACGCCTCTCGACGGTGTACCTGTATTTGTTGGGTGTGAAACCACTGCGTATATGCGTGTGGAAAAAGTACTCGAATAGAGTTTACCGTGACAGCTATCACCGAACGGAGGCATGTGATATGACACTAGATCACGTGCTTCCTAGTAATGATAGGGATAACCAACGGCCATCGACGCTTTGTCAGATATAATAAAATAAAAGTAGCCGCCCATAGCCGTACTGTCACATAACACGATGCCAATTTAACGTCAAGAGGCGGTCTGTCCCGGAAAGTGTTAAATAACTAACCAGCGCTGAGACTGCTTTTCGTTGTTACTCTAGAAATTTCACAATATTAATACACAATTCAGTCCAAACCCTTCCCGTTGGTGAGACCAATACAAATATCAACACCTCCATGAGTCGCTATTAATTAATTTATTACTATAGTCCATGGTCCTCGGCGTTCTTAACACTGTCGTTTTCTTTTATTTGATAAATGTTAATAATATCACAGATCATATAATATTATACTAGATAATATATAGTTTTTCATATAATTCACAGCAATAATTTGACAAATGGTAGAGATTAGATTACGCATTAGGTTTAGGTTAGGCACTTTACCATAACTTATTAGATAGTTATTTCGTTTTAAGCTTTTACTTATGTATATAAGTTCACATAAATCAGTCGTCATGTAAGTTCATGTGTATGATTGAGACGCTCAAAACTTATGAGATTTGTAATGCATATACGTGACGCAATTCGACGGCCTTGTCCTGGTTATATGCTTATTTATACATATATGTACGATGTTGCACATCTAAAGCTAGTGGAAATATATAAATAATTCTATATTTATGGGAGCTTGTAATAGGTATGTTATATTACCAAACTACTAACTACTCGTAAGTAATCGAAGAATAAACCTACGTAACGCTATCAGAAAAGCTTTCTAAAAGTTACCAAATATATAAATTTTTATTTTTAAATGTCGCACTTTGTTAATATATATGTATGTACATCAATAAATCTAATAATAACTAGAAGATTTAATTAATTATTACCCATATTTAAGATTAATCATTCGATGCAGATAAATGAAAATAAAGTAAATAATAAGTTGCGCCCATTGTTAGTTGAGATACGGAGATGATAGAATAAGGAGGTCTATTAACTATAGGATGGGATGATTTTGTATAGGTTAATTCCCCTTTCAAACTTTCATCCCTTAAGGGATGGTTTTCGGGATAAAAACTATTCTATGTCCTTCCCAGGGTCTCAAACTATCTTCTTACCAAATTTCATCTAAATCGGTTCAGTAGTTTCGGAGCCTATTCGGCAAAAACAATCAAATAAAAAATCAAATCTTTCCTCTTTATAATATTAGTATAGATTGAGGCAGTGGTAGCCCAGTGGTAACGCGCTCGCTTGGGAAATCGAGTGAAGCGGGTACAAAACCTGGGTCTCGCACCTCTGATATTTTCATGTGCGAATCATTTCTAACACAATTACCACTTGTCTTAACGGTGAAGTAAAACATCGTGAGGAAACCTGCATGTCTGAGAGAACCTAGCAAGTTTTCAAAAGACATGTGAAGTCCGCCAACCTGCGCCACCAAAGTGCGGGTTGGTGGGCTTCACATGTCTGTCGAAAACTTGCAGGTTACCCCACAATGTTTTTCTTTATTGTACAACAAGTGGTAATCACGTTAGAAATGATTCGCACATGTACACATATCCGAAGTGCAAAACCCGGGATTTGAACCCGTTTCACTCAGTTTTTCCAAGCGAGCTCATTACCACTGGGCCGCCACTGCCTTTGATATATTAATGAGCATAGATTTTTACAAATTACATAATACTTCTAAAATTCTGATTTCGTTAGCACACATTAAATATCGGTTACAATGAATATATTCATTTGTAGTTTCTATACTTTAACTTTCATCTGCTCCTAAATATTGTTTCGGATATCCGCTCTATTGGTTTTCGGAGATATTTAATTGTATAATATTTTTATAAAACCATCTTGCACTTAAACTGTTTGGCCACGAAAAGGTGGCGGATAATAAACACACCAAATAGATTTTGATAATTATTATAGTATCGGTACAAATAAGAATTTTGTAAACGATGTAATTAATATTAAGAATATATGTTGCATTTAATTTAGTGTCTAAAATGTAGCTGTTAATGTATATATGAATATTTCAGGTCCGTGTATTTGTTGGTATAATCAGTGGAACAGCGTTTGCGATGTTTGAAGGTGCTGTTATTGCAATTGTGAGAGATCAAAGAGCGGATTATGGCCTTCAAAGAGTGTACGGTAGTATCGGAGGTATGATCTCGTCGCCGCTCTCTGGGCTGCTCATCGACTATGCGAGTAGAGGCAAAGGTTACACCGACTTCAGGTATATAATAATAATAATAATAATCAACTTTATTATCCAAAAAGTTTAGCTTACAATATATTTTATATCTGAGGGTAACTCACACTAGGCAAACCCTGTATCGTGAGTACCACAATTTGATTTACAAATGAAATATTGTTGCTCGGTTAACAGTGCTAGTAAAAGTTATATTATTATGACAAAGAAATATGTAAAAACTATAAAAATAAAAGTATTGCTTGTTTCATTTTAAATTTACAATAACTGCATGAAAAAAAAACAAAACTCAAAAGCTTCATTAATATGAACATAATATATATCTACACAGTTGCACAGTTTAGATAATTGAAGAAGCCCATTACGATATATCATAAATATTTTTTTCTGTAGCAAGTAGCGAGTCAAGAATATATTATAATAAGGAAGTAGGGCCACTTTTTGTATCAAATTTGTTTTCAATTAGACTTCCTGGCTTATAATTTATTCGTAAATAATTAATAGAAGGTATTACTTTAAGGTAGAACCATAGTTTGTATAACAGTTAAACTTAAGTTTAACATTTAACTGCGATAAATAAATTGAAAAAGTGTTATTAGTATAATTGTTTATTTTTATCTTTATATTCAGTATAAAATATAATAATAATAATATCTCTCGTTAATCAAAAATATCGTATAAAAATAAAAACTCGTTTTAAAGCTTGCCTTAAATGCTAAAGTTACATTTAAAGCTTTTTTCTTGTTGATCATATACTCGTACCTACATTTATTATGTATAATATAAATATCAGTTACTTTATCCATAACCGGATACGCAACAGATACTTAGGCAGTATAGAATTACTGTAACATATTATTTTTATAAGTGTTATGCTTATTTACAGACCGGCTTTTTATTTATATGCAGTTTTAAAAGTTGTTTCTGGTGTCCTGATGTTGAGTATCGACCTGGAGTTCAAACAGCCCGCAAAGAATATTCTAGACGATGTTATTTCAGTATTTCGTAATATAGAACTCGTTGCTCTGTTCATAGCATGTTTCATTATGGGTAAGTTATAAAAAATATTTGTTGTTGTTTATCTATAGTTATAACTGCCTCGGTGGTGTAGTGGCTAGCATGTACGGCTGCACACCTGGAGGTCCTGGGTTCGAGTCCCGGGTCGGGCCAAGTTTAGTTATTGAGTCTTTCTGTATAGTAAGTCTCAGTAACAGCCCGAAGTTGGGAAGTTGGCGGTGTTTCACCCCCGTGCCTCGGAGAGCACGTAAAGCCGTCGGTCCTGCGCCTTAACTCTCACCGGTCGTGTCGAGTGGTCGTCCCACCGGAGTATGAGAGTGATAGGAATAGAGAGTGCACTTGTGTCTGCGCGTACACTTGTGCACTATAATATCTCCTGCGCAGTTGGCTAATCTCAATGAGATTGGCCGCCGTAGCCGGAATCGGCTAGGAGAACATCATAGTTATAAAGCTGTATAAGCTTACTATTCTTACCAATTCTACAATTTATGTATATAGCGACGACACGTTTGGCACAGTTTGTAATGACCCTACTTGCTGTGCCAGCGGTCGCGGGTTTGAGTCCCGCTGGGGACATTCATTTGTGTGATGAGTACGCATGTCTTTACTCCAGTCATGGGTGTTTATATTGATAATATGTATGTATTTAAAGTTATATATGTGTAGTGTATCAATTATCTGGTATCCATAACACAAACCTCGTAGCTTAGCATGGAACTAGATGGTGTTGTGTGTTAATGTCCCAACATATTTATTATTATTATTTATTTTATGGTGTAAGAATGACTATCCGTTATATTTGCTAATTTCAAACCTAGAAACAGGTCACAAACTGGATTATAATGGAGTATTTTAATCATTTAAAAGATAACTTTTTCTTTTGATTATATATAGAACAAAGTAAAAAAATAAAAAATGTGGTCGTTCAGGTTTGTATAAGTAGATGTTTAGATAAAAGTTGCCGTTGATGGTGGCTGGCTAATAAGACATAAAATAAATTAAAAAATAACTATATTATGTTTCTTAGAATCTTAAAAGGAAGATTCAAACTATGCTTTTGAGAGTAAATAAATTTACATGATTCTTAGGATTTTGGGACAACGGTATCGGTGTCAGTATAATACAAAAATATTTTTCTGTGTGATGTGATACATTGAAATTTTATCGAAGTACTGGTTCTTGTCTGCGCTAACGACACGACATTTTTTAGAATATCAGTAAGATGATTTCGCTTATATAGAAGAATACATAAAATAGTTTTAATAAAACTTAGTCGATAGTATTTTTAAACCCAGTCCTATTAAAATCGGTTAAGTTGTTCTTGGATGAGAATATGCAAAGTTCCCTTACCTTTCCCTTCCTTTAATACATACTTCAAATAGGAGAAGTTACTTAATTCGGCTGAACGTGTTTTTATATGTACATTTTTTCCAATTAAGAATTGATTTAAAAATATCTTTTATATGAATAGGTTCTTTAATACTCAATTATCTATTGTACACATTACTATATTGATTATTATTGGATGTTTTTATTTAATTATTTTTAATACTAATATGTAAAACCTAAGAATTTGGTTTTTGGTCATCTGAACGCGGACGGAGCCGCGGGCAATGCTAGTATGTAATATAATTCAATCTAATCATTACAAATATTCTCATAGAATCTATGAGTAAACTTGAAGTACAATATATTTTTTTAATTTTCTTTTTTTAGCAAATCATTTAATTATGTTTTGTACTGTTATATATATTTATTATTTACCTTTTAGGTAATATAAAGAAAATCCTTTAGATTTTTGTCTTCTAAATGAATTGTTTATTTTTTAGGCACAGCTTGGGGCTATATTGAGAGTTTCCTTTTTTGGTTGCTACAAGACCTTGGCGCGTCCCGGTCTCTGATGGGTATTACGATCACGGTCGGCGGCGTCGCCGGCTTGCCTTTACTGGTACTTTCGGGTCCAATCATTCAAAAGCTCGGTCATGCCAATGTTCTTTTTATCGGATTTGTTTTCTATGCTATTAGGCTTCTTGGTAAGTTCAGGTTTTTAAAAAAATCTTTAAATTTAAGTTTCGTCGACACCAAACAGTAGGATATGTGTTACTCCAGGTCCAATCTTTTTTTGTACTAAATTTCATCTAAATCCGCCTAGCTGTCTCAGCGTAAAGGTGTGAGAAATACACGTACACATTTTTGCATTTATAATAGTGGTCCCATTTTATTTTCAACGGATAAATAATCTTGAATCTCTTGAATTTTTATTGCTTTTGAATTTTATCTTAAGATAAAATAAAATTTATATTCAATACAGAATTCTCCAGATGTAATAATTTACATCATTAAAGGTCAATTTATTCTTTAAAAATTAATTTATATGTTGTATTTAATCAACGCTCTATATTTTCAAGAACATAAATAGTGTGAATGTTTATGCATTTTTGCTCGCATATGAAAATTTATATTTAAATGACCGTGACATTTTATAACTACTAGCGACTCACCCTCGCTTCGCTCGGGTTCGATCCTAGCTTGATTCCACATACAAACTTTCACCCCCCTAAGGGATGATTTCTGGGATAAAAAGTATCCTTTGTCCTTCTCAGGGTCTCAAACTATCTTCTTACCAAATTTCATCTAAATCGATTCAGTAGATCCAGTGATTACCTACCCCCTACAATGTCACAAACTCACTAACTCACAAACTTTACTTCTTTGTAATATTAGTATAGATTTTAAACAAAAAACATATATTTACAATGGGTTGATATATAAAAACTTAATAACCCAAAACATTTTTTCAGGTTATTCTTTAATCTACAATCCATGGCTATGTCTTATTTTTGAGGCACTAGAGTCTGTGACGTCATCGCTGTCCTTCACAGCGGCCGTCACTTACGCTGCAAGACTCTCTTCCACCACTACCGACACTTCAGTGCAAGGTTTACTAGGAGGACTGTATTATGGAGTTGGTAAGATATGTTTGTATTCAGCCTCTTTTAACGTCCCACTGCGGGGGATCAGGCCATAGTCCACCACGTTGGCCAAGTGCGGATTGGCGGACTTCACATGTCTTTCCAAAACTTGCGAAGTTCTCTCAGACATGCAGGTTTCCTCATGATGTTTTCCTTCACCGTAAGGCAAGTGGTAATCATGTTAGAAATGATTCGCACGTGAAAATATCAGAGGTGCGAGACCCGGGATTTGAACCCGCTTCACTCGGTTTCCCAAGCGAGCGCGTTACCACTGGGCTACCACTGCCTAAGATATGTTTATGTGTAAGAAATTATAGCAAAATCGTAGAATGAAAATCTCTCTACATAAATTTTAAATTTGTTATTATTGATAAAAATAAAATTGCCAAGTTTATTCGCGATTTACTATGCGTATTACACGAATACGTACTCGTACGTAGATAATATAATGTACGTAGATTATATAATGTACGTAGATTATATTATAATGTATATTTTTTCGGAAAGAGGTTTTCTGGGAAAGAAGGAAATGGTTTTATGAAGTATTTTGTAGTTGAATTTTGCGAAACTTTTAATTGCGTTAAATAGTGTACTTTCATGAGAATTTTTGCGAGATTATTTATTCAGATATTGAGTAAAGTGAAAAGATAGGTTAATCACATTTATTTTTAATTATTATGATTGTTACATGTGTAGCGAGAAGTTATACTTCAGCGTACTTTTAGATATTGAAAGTATTCTCCCGCGAAAGGAGCTATAGTTCTATGAAAGATTATTTCCCGATTTCAGCAACGTCACCTAAGTTTAAAGGATCCCCTAAGCATGGTTAGGGGGCTGTTAGGGGACAGTTTCTATTTCACCGACAGTTAGGGGTCACCTGAATATTAAAAGGCCCTCTAAATTTAGGTACTCGAAATATGAACTTAAAGAAGATCGTAAAACGAAATTTAATTTAGGGGCTAGTTTTGGGGAATTTTATGCTAGGGATCCTATACGTAGCTTATGGGTTGTTGTTTAAATCGGGCATATGTCCTATATTTCTCTATTTAAGATTATTTCTCAGTATCATTTTATAAACACTATAATGAAACTAGAGTGAAGCGCTTATATCGCTTACGCTAGCTAAGAGTAGTTATGAGATATATCAAAATATTGTACTAAAGAATTTAAAAATATGTTACTTCATTAAGTAATTAATGTAGATAAAGTCTTGTGCTTCATATACGAATCTTTTAGAAGACATTACACATTTAAACTTAAGCGTAGCGGGAACTTTACGTAAAATTAGAAACGAAAGACATTTAAGGTCGCTTGTTAATAATATTTCAATTTTAAACTCAAAACATTAATCTGGCTCGAAATGCACCACTGCTGGTGCTTTAGTTTAAAATACTTTTAATATGATTAAAACAAAAATATACCTTAACTTTTTTAAATATACGATATACCTGCCTATAACAAATAACGCAAAGACTACTTAAATAGTTGATTTGTATAATATTTTTTTTATAAAATCTATACATATAATAAAATTCTAACTAAGCCGAATCAGTACATTAAATATTTTTTGGAAAATGTTATTGAAATAGACACTATTAACGATACAGAGGCCGAATCTATAGTTTTTAGAATTTTTGTCTGTCTGTCTGTTACCGCATCACGGAAAAACCACTGGAGGGATTTTGATGAAATTTGGTATGGTGATAGATGGTTATCCGGGTCAACATATAGGATACTTTTTACCGCGAGAAAATATCTCATTTCTGAGAAAAAATACAAAAACTGCAATGTAAGAGTATACTAACATGTAAAACCTAAGAATTTGGGTTTTGGTCATCCGAACGCGGGCGGAGCCGCGGGCAATGCTAGTATGTAATATAATTTAATCTAATCATTACAAATATTCTCATAGAATCTATGAGTAAACTTGAAGTACAATACATTTTTTTAATTTTTTAGGTAAAGGTTCTGGCAGCTTAATAGGTGGATATTTAATGAAATTCTTCGGAACGCGACCGACGTATCAATTATTTGCTGCTGCTACTTTTATCACTGGGTGTTTCTACTATCTCTTTAATCAGTTTTACATACGCAAAAGAGCTATGGGCGACGAAAATGACCTTTGCAAGAAAAAGCCAGCCATTTTAGATGCTGAGAAACGAGAGAAAATTAATCCGACAATAGATGTCGCTACTGAGAATGAAGTCAATAAAATAGAGACGTCGAAAGCGACAAACCCACAAATAAAGCTCGTGTCAGACAGCATAGATGGCAGCAGTGACTCTGGAGTCGACAATCCAGCATATAATGACAATGTAGAGACGACAGTGAATGACAAAAAAAATGATGACAAAACTAAAATTTGACATTTGTGATATATAATTACCAATAGTTTTTAAAGCTTACAAATTAGATTTAGTTACCCTAAGCTTATCTAACGTTGTTTGATGTATATGAGAATATTTATTATTAAAATTTTATTAAAGACGAAATTATGGTTTTTATTCTGAATTATGCTGTAAATATTATGGAGTTTATATAAGGATAGGAGAAGTAATAATTAAATATAAATTCAAAATGGGATATAATACCAAACCTTGTATTTCTTTACATTGCATTATAACATATTTATTTCTAATACAATTCCCACAATCTTAACTACTATTTGAAAAATAATAATCCTCTTTTTTTATAAAAATGCTGACTATTAAAGAATTATAAAGAGGGAGCCTTCGAAAAAAATGTCAAAGTCATAAATAGTAGCGTGATTTTCTGTTTATGTTACTATTATCGATTTTGCGATACAGGTTTAATTGTTTCAAAAAGTAAGGAAAATTTCATATAATTGTTAGTCATTTAACAATTTTTCACTAACTTCATCCTGTAGTCTAATTCTAACGCATCGTAAAAGTACACTTTCATATTTTTTCCCTAACGCGCTATAACTTTAAAAATACTTATTCTTTTGTATTTTTAATCATTAGTTATGAGTTCTTGAAAGAGAAAGATAGCATAATATTAGCTATTTTTTTAAATTATAATAAAATCCTCCAGCTATTTTTATTTATCAACATTAACTTATCAAAGTAATGAATATTCTAGAATATATTTGTATTCTGTTTTAAAACAAGGGCTATGTTTATTTCTGTGACACTCTATATTATTTCTTAAAAATGAGTGAAAATGTATATAAGTTTAATAAAGCCCTGTATTCATATAATTTTGAGTTTGCCTAATGTTAAGTTTCAAGACAATAGAACAATTAGAAGTAGGTTAATATTGACTTACGACATTTGTTAACATACTCGTTTTATTGTCACGTTATTTTTCTGATTATATTTAATAACGGTATGCCCTATAACAAAGAATATTATATGGGACTTCAGAATCTGTCTTAATAAAAAATATACCATCGGACGTAGTCCCTGCTAAGGAGCAGGGAATACATCTTCGTATATTGTATTTATAGATCAGGAACAAGAATTGTATTGACAATATGCGAGTGACATGTCTATCCAAATCACAGTGCTTATATTATGTCATTTCCATATATTTTTATTTCTTTATTATCGGTAACTATTGTAGAATCTGTTCAAGTCTCGCTGGCTTAAGTTCTCTTCTCTTGAAATCTTTAAATATTTCATTTTTTTTATATTTGAGTTATCTAGATACATATATTATAATTTAGTGAGAGGGCGTGCGTTAGTGGCGTGCCCAATCTTGCTCCTAGATGTTTGTTTCCTACTAAGTATAACTAAAATGATGAATTATAAAATAAAAAAATTGCATTACTTGTAAAGTAACTACATATTTAAAATCCTTTTTTAATTCAAATGTATGCTTACGGTTATCATATAAGAAAACAAAAAATAGTTTCTCTATTTGAAATTAGGATGTGCAAGTGGCATTAATTATATCAAATCAGTCAAATCAAACAATATCAAGATATAAAGATTTATACTGGGAATTTGTCTCAAAAGAAAGTAAAAGTCCAGACAGAAAGTCCAATCTGTATATTATCTAAATACTTATATGAATATTTTTCCGCAGATTGAATTAGTGTATTTGGAGTAGGTAATATAGGCAGTCCCTCCCAACGCGCGTTCACCTTGTCGTCTGATAGCAGAGTGGACCTTGGAGCAACCCCATGGTTGTGGTGGTCTGCTTCGGCAGACCTGCCGTCGGGGCGTCGTAGTTGAATGCGTAAGCGCTCCTGCGATGCCCCATTAAGACGGGGGAAGGTTTTGTTGGGTTTTAGTGGGTAGTACTGGCTTTGCTGGTGAGTCCCACACCTCGTGCGTAAATGCATTTTTCAACGTAAAAAAAGAAGATAATATAGGCTGTGCAAGTTGAGCATTAAAATCATGGTAGTATTTAAGTTATTTGTTATAAAGACTTGCTCTATGAAATCTTTTTAATTGAATTATATTAAATTATTTTGAAAAATGATATTTTTTATTCTTAATTACACAAAATAACTTTTTTTATTATGTAAAATAAATACGTAATGTCGGCTTGTACAAAATATTTATATTTAATTCAATTTTTGTATGACAAATATGTAGTTTATTTTATTATCCTTATAAAAAAAATTGTCAGAATTGTAAAATACATTTCAAGAGAGATAATACAATATCTATACATATTATAATAAAATTCTAACGGAGTTGAATCTGTAATTTTAATTATTTTTTTTGGAAAATGACAGATTTTGATGAAATTTCATATGATGATAGCTAGTTATCCGGGTCAACATATAGGATACTTTTTACTGCGGGAAAATATCTTACAGAAATCTCTAAGAAATCTATACTAAACGTTAAAACGTAACTAGGGACGAACCCGAGCGGAACGAGGATGAATCGCTAGTTTATTACATTACTGAAATAGTTCCTAACTAGCAATAAAAAATTGAAGTTAAAATAATATAGATAGTTAATATATAAATATTAGAGCACTTTCTACTCAAATATTACATGATTGCTCTAATATCACAAAAATGAGAAATTTGAAACCTTAAAAAAATGTTATACAAATATGTGACACTTTCTTTGAAGGTGTACCAACGAGTGACATGGATTATCCTGCTAATAGTGTAAATTGTAACCAGACTGGGGTCACGTCACTCGTATTTCAGGTGTTCTACATTCAACAGTACCGCTAGAAATTATCACAATTTTCGTCTAACTTGTCAATTCAAAAACTATTATTCGGATGCCTTTAGTTATATTCAACATTTTCGAATAAGACATCAACTCGAACACACATCGCGTGCGGAATATGCAAATGCAAATAGTATATCAAATAAAATGAATCAAGAATCATTTATATTAGTATTGTTTGTGTGTTGTTTAAAAAATTATATTGAAGCTTTAAGTTTTCCTGGACCTAGAGTGTATGTAGTTACTCCAGCAGCACGACCTCTAGAAAAAGATGATGGAAAATTCTACTATCACAAATGGATGAGAAGAATGGACACATTTCCGAATTCTACCACTACCACTCCAACAACAACAACGGCGGCACCTAAAAAAGAAACACCGGATTTAATATTTGCAGAGTTTGAATCTGATGGAAGTAAGCAAAAGTCCATCAGAAAATTGCTGGAGAAAGAGAAAGTATCATCAAAATCCACAACAATGAGCCCTATATATGTACCTGATGATGAAGAGAATAGAGTGACCCGTGTAGTGAATTATGGTTTACCTGTGAAAATAGAAAATCACGCAGATACTGACACTGAAATATCTACAGAGCAAACAGATTTTTCTTTCATGCATCATAAGGACTATTATAATAAAATGCAGGCACCAGTACATATACCCTCGAAAACTACTCCGAAGATTAGAAGTACTACGACTACGACCACGACCACAACTACTGAACCAGCTCCTATTAACATAGAAAACATTTGGCATATAATTGATAATGAAAAGATTAATCAGTACTCAGGGAACTGGCATGAAGTACCAGTGGATGACAATGAAAACAGTGGAAAAGAAAGTGAGAAGTCTGAACATTCTAGACCTAGCCAATTAGATGAAGACGATGAAGGGGAAGCAGGACAAAATCAGTTTGATACAATAGATGAAAATTTCGCAATACCAGGGTAATTTAAACAACTTTTTGTAGTACTAGACGTAATTGTTAGTGGTATTTTTTTTAATGTTCATTTATTTTCAGGTTTACTACGAATTCTGGAAGTGGAGCCGAAAATGAATCTAGGGCAATACGAACTGAACCAGTCATAAGATTTCCCTATGTTAATCTTAAACCATTTCAAATGAAGTCTTCGAAGAAAACATCACTGAGTGGTTCATCAAATAATAAAAAAAATAATAACATGATGATATCATTAGACCAATTCACCGATTTAAAGCATCCTGTTAGAGGAGAAGCTCAAGATATTCTTCCATTAGGATCCCAGATAGATCGTTACAATCCAGCTCAACCTTATCTACCACAACCTCCCTACGGAAGTAAAGTATCTAAACAATCTAGTCCTGTTTCTTCACCACCAAAAGCAACTGCTAATTTAGTTCCTCCACCTCCTCCACCGCCACCACCCAAAGCTAGTGATAGTTTTCCAGCTCCTGCTATCTATGAATCTTTCCCGCCCTATGCACCGTCGAATCCAGACTTTGGATCTGTATCTTCCCAATCTATTTCGGATTCTGTAGACTCACTAGATACATCTGGTAGTGAAGATACATCCAGTGATAGTGACGATGGACCACAAATGGATTTGGGATATCGTTATAAACTACCTATAGCTGCAGCAGACAACGGCCCCGTGATGGATACGGGTTATCAATATAAGCCACCTTCGGCGCCTGTCCCACAATTCATTCCAACTATACCACCAGAACCTAAGCCTTTTGCTGGCTATTCTTACAATAAGCCTAGCATTGATACTAATAGTGCTCCAGTGATTAGCAAACCTGAATTTCAAGGTTACCATTACAATAAACCAGACGCAGCAAAACCTTCGCATGATTATATGCCACCAAGCTATGGTTCTCCTCCGAGCTATGGACCATCACCTAGTTACGGACATGACGACACGCCACCACATGAACACGATTCGGACTACCCTGAATTATTGTTTAGTAAACCAAATGACCACGGAAGTGATGATATGAAAGGAAGTGATATGGGAATGGTGCCTCCACCACCACCTTCAGGTATGCAGCCTGATATGTATGGGCCACCACCTTCAGATATGAAACCTGATATGTATGGGCCACCTGATGATCATGGCTTTCCAATTGATTTTCCTACAGATTTTAAATTTCATCACGATTTCGATGAACACGATCATTATCATCATCACCCTACTACCACAACTAGTACAGAAATGCCTCGTGTGAATAGATTTAGTTACTACTATTTAGGGAAAAAATTATATTACCTTCCGTTATATTTTAGTGTTTACTTTATAGTATATGTGGGTGCTTTAATTATTAAAGCCGTATTGCGACATAAGATTGTATATCCTAATAGTTGGAAACCGAACGGTACTACAGCAACTTTCTTTTCAAAAAGATCAGTGGACGATTATCTCTCAAATGATAACTTACATGAAGTAACCAAGAAGGTCACTCACGCACTCGCAACAGCCGCAGAAAAATATATAAATGCTAAAAAAGAAGCATGAAAATGACGTATACATAAATATACTGTACATACTGCATATTTTAATAATATAATTGTAATGTTGTGAACTGGACATATTTAAATTATCTTGTTTTTATTACTTTTAAATATTAGTTCATTGTCACAACGTTGTATATTTGAATAAATAGTATTTTGGGTTATTTGCTAATTTTTATTTATATCTTTCAAGATATTAATTAGTATAAGTAATATATAAAATTTTAGCATAAAACAAATCATACATACAAAATAAATAATAATTATTTATTATATCATAATTTTTGCATTTAGTTAAAAACAAAAAGCTCCAATAATTTCTAAATTGTATTAAAAGTCTTGCAGGTAGGTTCATATAATAATAATTAATTAATTCAATGCTTCGTCAAAATATTCAATAAGTTTCTTTATTTTATTATTGTAGGAACATAACATTTATAATGTATTATTAGTTAGAAATACAAAATAAATAATTAAATAAATATCTCTAGACTCTATTGTCCAGAATTTAAGGTAGATCTTACTTTTTTAAAGTTTCAGCGGATTTTTTTTAGATTGCGCTATAGATTTATCTTCTATAGTATTTTCGAAAGCTACATCTTTAATTGTTTTAGATATACTTTGATTAGTGTTTTGAAGGCACAGAATTTATTTAAAGGGATAAATAAATATTTTGAAATTTGTCATTTGTGTCCTAATTCTAAATTCTAGAAATTATATAGTGAAAGTTTAAAATGTCGAAAGAAAATTTAAAAATCTTGAGTATTAACCTGAAAAAATAGTGTTTCTAATAATATTTAGTGTATTTGTGAAATTTAACTGAACAAAAATTACTATTACGTAATAAGTCGTCCATATGTACGTTTTAAATTGATAAAAATGATAGAATAATAAAAATATAGCAAAAATTACAAACTACTCTTCAATTGTGTCTAGTTTACAAAATATAAAATGTGGACATAACTAATAGACTACACATAAGGGTTTGGCCTGTGCTTTTATTTAAAACTTTTATCCTCTACATTACCGTCTTAGGGGTTGAATTTTAGAAAACTCTGAATTACAATTCATTATTTTTTCCATACTCAATTCATACGAAATTTAATGCAAATATGTCCAAGTAATAAAAAGTTTCATACAAACTTTTATTCCCTATTTCACCCCCTTGGGGGTTGAATTTTGAAAAATCCTTCCTTAGTAGATGCCCTCGTCATATGAGGAATACGTGTGGGAAATTTAAATTTTCTAGCCTTAAAGGTTTGGCCTATGCGTTGATACATCAGTTAATCACTTTTGCCTTTTCTATCTATACATATAATAAAATTGTAACTAAGTCGAATCTGTACATTAAATATTTTTTGGAAAACCTATTTGAAATAGACATTATTATCGATACAGAGTCCGAATCTATAGTTTTTAGAATTTTTGTTTGTCTGTCTGTTACCGCATCACGAGAAAACAACTGGACAGATTTTGATGAAATTTAGTAAAATGATAGCTGGTTATCCGGGTCAACATATAGGATTCCTTTTCCCGCGGGAAAATATCTCATTTCTGAGAAAAAATACAAAAACTGCATTGTAAGAGTATACTAATATGTAAAACCTAAGAATTTAGTTTTTGGTCATCTAAACGCGGGCGGAGCCGCGGGCAATGCTAGTACATATAATAAAATTGTAACTAAGCCAAATCTGTACATTAAATATTTTTTGGAAAATCTTATTGAAATACACATTATTATCGATACAGAGGCCGAATCTATAGTTTTTAGAATTTTTGTGTCTGTCTGTTTGTCTGTCTGTTACCGCATCACAGGAAAACCACTGGAGGGATTTTGATGAAATGTGGTATCATGATAGCTGGTTATCCGGTTCAACATATAGGATACTTTTTACCGCGGGAAAATATCTCATTTCTGAGAAAAAATACAATAACTGCAATGTAATATGTAAAATATGATTTGGTTTTTGGTTATCTGAACGCGGGCGGATGTATTTTTTTTTATTAGAAATCTCTACGAAAATAGAAATAATTATATTATATATTATGTATACTAGCATTGCCCGCGGCTCCGCCCGCGTTCAGATAACCAAAAACCAAATCTTAGGTTTTACATATTAATGTACTCTTACATTGCAGTTATTGTATTTTTTCTCAGAAATGAGATATTTTTCCGCGGTAAAAAATATCCTATATGTTGACCGGGATAATCAGCCAACATCATACCAAATTTCATCAAAAACCCTCCAGTGGTTTTTCCGTGATGTGGTAACAGACAGACAGGCAGATAAAAATTCTAAAAACTATAGATTCGGCCTATGTATCGATAATAATGTCTATTTCAATAAGATTTCCCAAAAAAAGTTTAATGCACAGATTCGGCTTAGTTACAATTTTATTATACGTATAGATATACATATTCCAAGTACAATAGCATTAAATATATATGAATCAAATGGATTTAAGACAGCTTTTTGAAAGAAAAATGAGGATGATAAGAGAACGCTAAGAACTTAGCATTTTCAATGTATTTTTTCTGTAATTCATTCAATAAATGTAATTCCTTTAAATTTTTCATGCAAGCCTAACTCATAATCTATACCTACATCATTATAAACAGGAAATATTTGTCTGTTTGTATGCGATAATTTTTTTTATATTTTTTTTCACTAAGAGATGTTGAGTGCTGTAGGCTATAAACTAAACTCTATTGTGTTATTTAGTCTAGTTGTTACAGTTTTTGTCTAGGAAATCAGTAAACACACCATTTTATACCTGTAAAAGTTTAGTAAGAAATTTATGAGTACTGACAAGATGATTATTTTTATCAGATTATGAATAAATGCTTACATTTATCTACAGTATCCCTCGCATGCCACTTTCTCAATAATTTTTAACCGCCAAATATAATTACACCCGCTTCGTATAACAACCAGAATGAACGGCTTAAGCTATATTTTTAAAATAAGTAAATAAAAAGATAAACCTATACCATAAAAAAATCCTAAAAGAAGAGCATTCATTTTCGACTGATTACTATGAAAATAAATACATATATACCTAACTACAAAAATTATATTAATATTGTGTTGATATTTGTAAGTCTTTGTGACACTTGAAATAATTAAAAAAAAAGTCGATGTGCAACTCCATTTACTTTTAATTTCAGTAGAAATGCGATTCAGTATACACGTACAAGATTAGATTAATTTTATTTAACATACAAAAAAATCCTATCAATTATGACAATAAAACTTTCTTTTTTAAGACATATTTATCACTGTCACAACAATTCTGCAAATTAAATTGACACATCACTCGAGTCTAACACGCGCACGATTTGTTTACAGAACTTATATTTCAGTCTTCCCTACACGCGGTTAACTGAGACGCATCTTTTTGAAACGAGCAGTCCATTGCTATCATTCCGTGGTGCATTACCTCCGACAAACTTATAAAATAGATCTATATAGGTTATCGATAAGAATTCGTTTTTGAATGTGTGTATAGTAATATTAATGTTGATTACGAGTCAAAAGCTTTTATAAAGTATTTATTTTATAATACAAATTAGTTTATTTAGTAATGGCAAAAGGTTTAATCGCAATGTCTGTGCACGGCCTCGTCGTCGTAGGGGTGGTCGCCCTAGCGCTCTGGGCTACCGGCGCGAGCGCGAGCGCAGCGCGGTACGACATCGCGACGCCCTTCACACCACCCGCTACAAAATATAAATATATACCGCTTCAGTAAGTATTCAGTAATTAATTATTGTAATAACGCTTGTTTCGTAATAAAGATATGATAGACGGTATAAAAGCTCAAGCTTAAAGCTCTTTACAACGTACGAACTTTCAAGGCTTAATTAAAAAGTATTTTTGTGTATCAAAAGAGATAATCTTTTGATATATTAGTTTTAAAATATCTACTCCATGTAAGAATAGTATTTAAAAATTTATTTTAGTTTTTTTGTTAATATGTTTTTTTAATCAATAGTTCCACTTATACTAAAGAAGAATCAAATCCCGAAATTGATGACGTTGAAGAAGATACGTCAAGTTCAGGCATGTCAACGTCGGAGCTGATTCTCAATGTCTTCCGAACCGCTCTTGATGTCGTAAGAAAAATTAACAAAAATCGGTCCAGATCATCTTTGCCGGCCAGCAGCACAAATAGCACAGCAGTTCAGGTTAGTTTTATAAAAAAATATATTTTATAATATAAATAGGCACTCACACTTTTCTTCGATTATATAAAAATAATAAAATTAAAACTCAAGACACAGGTAAGATTTATATTAAAAGGAATAAAAAACCCGTTAAATTCGGAATATCTTATAATATTAAATTGTCTAACTTAATATTTAGAGTTAAAAAATAATTTTGGAATTTCATTAAGTATACATACCGATTTAAAAACCATAATACGCATAATGTTAAATTATCATAAAATATGCATGATTACTATGTAATGAATGTATTTAAACTTATGTTATTCAAAATCAGATAAATAAAATTATTGTTACAAAATTAGAAATGCATTGACTACAGTCGCGAAACTGTAAAATAAGGGCACAATAACGGCATCGACTGAACTAGGTGACCGGGGCACAACGCTAATTGTCTACACTAAGCCCAAATGTCCCGTGTTATTTATATATAAAATTTTCACACCTTTCTTTGAAAAATAAACTTAGCATGCTTAGCATCTGTTACTATGCCTCCTCTTTTGATAATGACGATGATGAATATAATACTCTTTGCAATCTTATTCTGTAAACAACTCTTAGAGTTTTTTGAATTTCTACTCTTAATAGTAATTAATTAATAAATATATGTCTGTTTACTCTCATATCTTGTATAATATACATACATATATGATATACTTATACATAATTCTTATTTTATACTATGAAACGAGCAATTTTTGTATAATTTGTATTTAGATGAGGTTTTGCTCTTTTAATTTATCTTTATAGGTATCTTTTCTAAAAAAAACGCGTTTTTTATATCTTTTCCGAAAAACGCCGAGCGTAACTCGGTCGCTCACACTTTTAACTAAGCATGAAAATTAGTTGTTAAAAGATTCTGATTGCGAATAATGTTCTACATTTCAGTTGAGACGAAATGGTAAGAATGCGACAAGCGGCATTGGACGAGGATTTGAGGATTACTACGATGAGCATCACGACCATGATGATGACCATGACCACACAACCACCGCCAAGCCAGTGAAACAGGGCAGATACACCGACCCATGGGCAGGGTACTATGACTGGATCATTAACGAGGGCTCTTTCAAATTTTGGAGTGTATTCCAGGTACGATTATTTTAATAAAGTCTATAATTATTATTTTTCAGACTGTTGTCAATTAATAAACAATTTCAAAGATTATATATTTGATTATGAGACGTTTACGCAGAAAAAAACGTGGTAATTTTAAACTGAGATTGCTTTATTCATACATAAAATATTTTTTTATTGAATTCTTTGTTTATATAAACGTCCTATTAAAAAAAATTAAATATGGCAATTGCTACAATAATAATTTTGGCCTTAAATGCATTGTAGCGCATCGTACCGAAAAATTATTAGCGTCATTTGTCTTTTACCACAAAAACAGTAATTCCGTTGTCTTACGACCAAACTCTGGTGAGCTAAAGTCTATGACTTTAGCATTGACATAGTTTTAATGGCGGTCACCATATTATTATATACGGAAGTGCTTAAAGTTAAACCATATATATATATATATATATATATATATATATATATATATATATATATATATATATATATATATATGTATAGTTATAATATGTATGTATTTAAAGTTATATATGTATAATGTATCAACCATCTGGTATCCATAACACAAGCTTCGTAGCTTACCATGAAACTAGATAGTGCTGTGTGTTAATGTCCTGATATATTTATATTTATTATATTTATGTATTGAAGCAGTCACCAATTTCATAGTTTCATATCTAGGGACTAAAATTATATGCCTATTCGTCCTAGTCGTTCGTACTACACGTACTTATTTTTTCTATATAATTTAGATTAGTGCAATTTAATTATCGGAACAGGTCGTTAGTACAACAGTTGTATGGGATCGTGATATCTATTCACGGTCATATTTTAAGTGCTTCTTCTTTGTGTCTTCCAAAGTTTCCTTATTTTTTTTTGTTTCGACAGACAAGTAATGTTAAATTGGCGTGTAATTGTTTATCCTAATGTAAGGAGATTGTTGCACATATCTCAAAAAAACGAGTCTATATGTTATGTTAGTTCGCGTACATATTCAGTGATTTCGTCAAGGCAAAAAGATAATAGGTAGATGTCAAGAATTTAATATCCCAAATCAGTATCTACATGACACTAAAATGCTCTAAACTCTAGTGTTGCGTTTCAATATTCTAGCTTATTATTGAGATATTTACAAGAAAACATTAAGTGTCAAGCAAGTTCAAATTCCTACAATTATGGGCTACATATTTAATATTCATATGGTATTAAAACATGTATTTTAACACTAACTCACATCATTCAGTTATCTAGTTACGTTCCTAAGACAAAAATATAGCAAAAATTGAAACAAGCACATTTTGTTAATTTAAAAAATCAATAATTAATGTATAAGTTATTTATATTAAATAAATTAATGTAAAATGAATAGAATAATATACTAAAGTTGATAAATATATTTATTAAAAGCTATAGGAAATAAGCTCTAAATTTAAAGTTTTTTATTGTATAACGGACGCACAGGATACACTCTTAAAGTTTTAGTTTTAGCTTATAAGGAAAACAAAATGGGAATCCTTATCCGTTCTATCAACATTCATATTTATCCTTTTACCTTGGATTTTTTAACTATTTCACTGTTTAAACACCGCGAGGTAAAACGTCGTAACGTCGAGTATTAAATAAACGCGTGCGGGTCGTGGTATTGAACTAAGCACAAAGCTTTTTTTCCATATTTCATTTGAAAATATACCTTTGAATTTTCGTTATTGTATTTTGTGTACTTATAATTTACCGATGGTAGGACTCTGTCAAGCCTGAGGAGTCCGACTGGATGGGTACCACCCCCTTATCTATTTCTTCCGCCAAGCAACAATAATTACATTGGTGTGTTCCGGTTTGAAGGATAAGGTAGCCAGCGCAATTACAGGTAATAGGCATATCATCTTAGTCCTCACAGTGACAACGCACCTGCGGTTCTGTATTTTTGTGTAACATAAAACCTAAGTGCATGAACCGTAGGTATAAAAGGTGTTACGTATTGGGTTTAATCCCTCCACGACCGCGGACACCGAGGTGTCAGTTAACAATAGATTTCTTAGAATTTTAATTAATTTCTTAGAAATTTACCTGGAGGGATAAGCTATTGAAATGTTGTAAACTGTAAATCGTAAGTCATTTGATGTTAAAAAAGGAAAAGTTTTAATACAATATTAGTAATGCATTTTAAAATGTTTATTATCACTTCTACCGTTAGATGGTATGAAAAAGTTATTTGCTATATTGATTGCATGACGTTCCAGTTATTAATTATGTTATCTAATGACGAATGACATAAGATCTGAAAGAGATAAAATATCAATTAGTGGTTTAGGCTAAGATTTGTCATTTGTAAAAATAGCTCTTGAATAATTACTAATTGGAATATTTAACATTTTAAATGATACTATCTTTTTTTCGCTGATTTATTTGGATTTTTGGTTCCCGACGTTTCGAATGCTGTACAACAATCATGGTCAAGGTTATAGACGTCTCAAAGGCGTTATATACTTGTTACAGACAGCCTACCCACAAATAACAAATAAATGAAATATTTAAGATAAAAAATAATTATTATTTTTCAACAAACGAAAAATAGATTAGATATTTTTTTTGGTACGTATCCAGACAAGAATACATATTTACCTAAGCCGATACCAAATATTATGTTTTTAATTCTAGCATTATATATACCTATATGTTCACTTGACGTATATTACATGTCTTTAATTACCTTTATGATAGACTAGCATTGCCCGCGGCTCCGCCCGCGTTCAGATGACCAAAAACTAAATTCTTAGGTTTTACATATTAGTATGTATATATTTTTCCACGGTAAAAAGTATCCTATATGTTGACCCGGATAATCAGCTATCACCATACCACATTTCATCAAATTCCGTCCAGTAGTTTTTCTGTGATGCGGTAACAGACAGACAGGCAGACAAAAATTCTAAAAACTATAGATTCGGCCTCTGTATCGATAATAAGATTTTCCAAAAAAATATTTAATGTACAGATTTGACTCAGTTAGAATTTTATTATATATATATATATATATATATATATATATATATATATATATATATATATATATAGATATCCAGTGTTTTTTTATTATAAATTTGTTACTAAAGGAAAATATTTACATTTTTTCATTGATAATATCAATTGAACCGTTCCACTGTCGATAATTTTGTCAAGTTCACATCTCTAGGCCGACTAGCTTTACGGTATAAATTATCAATTACATAAGTTTACTGTTTACACGAAGTATCTATGAAACAATTATTTATGATTGCTTAAGAATATTTATTCATTCAACAATAGTTGAATAAATGAATAAACATTGAATAAATATCCTTTTGAACTCAATAAATTTTGAAATACAATGATACATTTTTTGAACTATATCGCCCTTTAATGAGACTAACTATACTATTTTATTATTTTTTGTCACTTAATAATTATCTTAATTTTAATTTATTATGTTTTAGCTATTCACTGCTGCCTTGCTACTGTACGCGTGTCTGTCGGCTATTTACTACGCGAAATTCAACCCTATTCTGCCCGACTACAGCATGGAATACGATGACTATTTCCTAGAACGTACCGTCGGCAGGAACGCTAGGAGCATTGAGCCTTCAGAGACCCCGTCAGGACTCACTTGGATCAACCCTACTACTTTCCAGTTCATTTTAGATGCCATCTCACAGCACTACTTAGAACAATAGATTAAACCGAATATTATAAGCACGTTTAATACAGGGAAACGATAGATTTACTAGACATTGTTTGTTTAAGAGAACTTTGTACAACTCTTGTTTCCTTGTATCGAATTATTCTGATTTTTAAAAATTTTAAATAATTTTTTTTAATCAGTTATATTAATTAATATCAGTCACTTACTTATATTGTAGATTTATATTATTTACCACTTATGTTTCAAAGCTCAATATTTCGTAACAAGTTCCTACTTGACTGTTTGTTGTTTTGCTCAAAATAGACTATAGTATTTAAATTAGTAAAAAATATAAGATAAGTTAGTAAAAATATCTTTTTAATAAAACATGTTATGTAAAGACGTTGTAACAGTATGGATGCAGAGTGCCAATATATGCGTATTTATAATTTATATTATTAGTACTAGTACTAGTACTAGTAGAAAGCTTAGTTTATGGTACATTGTTAAACGTAATGTTTGCCTAGCCAATAGCATTGCTAGTAAAATGACCCGACGACAAGGAAGTTAAAAGGATCGACAAGGCTTATAATATTATTTTAGCAAAATATTTCGTATGTGGTCCACAAATACAATTTAAAAAAAAAACTTTGTTATTTTAACAAACCAAGGTACGTACTAATATTACATATTGTTGGTGTAAACTGTTATGACTGAGCTATTGATTTAAATCCAGATATCATATTTAAATTATAATCAATCATCATTTTTTACATTGGGACAAGTAATTTTATGTGTATTTTATTTAATACCACATAATAAAGAATAATATTGCTAATAGTTTGGATTAAAAGTTGTAAGGTTGTGTGAGTGTGGTTGTTCTATTACGGTGGTGGGCAGCGACCGGGTGTGCGTCCAGGGTTCGACGGCCGGGCGCCTAGGATATTCACAGGATGTCGCTAATATTGCCTTTGCGACTTATTGCTGCTTACGAGCTACAATACCTCTACTTAATAATTGTTTATACAATAAATATTCTATTGGAATTATAATTATTTTATAATAAACTTACATTTTGTCAACCTCTATTTTTTTGATAATACTATCCATAAAAAATATTTTATCTTTAGTCAAATAAAAACTAACATTTCTCAGACACATAAATTATTATCAAGCGATCAATTAGGCTATCTCACATTTCGGTGAAACAGAATAGTTTAATTCGTTTTGCGGTTTTCTATCGTTTTGCGTGCGCTTCGCTTAGCTTTGACGACCCCGTTATGTCTGAAAGGTAGTTAATGTTAATATCGCTACTTTTGCGCGGTGTGCATCTCTCTACGGACGGGTTAGCACGCCAGTTCAACGTTCAAGCGCTGCGCAGGCGCACACTCCTCAAATCGGTATCACCGCGTGGTAGTCTGGCGTGTTTCGGGCGCACTCGAACATAAACGACGGATGCGACTTAACTGGCACACAATTGTTTTTATGAACAAATAAACGAACTACAGCTCTAGTGAAGTGTTTGTTGAGATCCATTTAAAACGGTTTAACTGGAAGTTTGGTGACTCTATATTATTCGGATGGTAAGTTAGTTTTTATTAAAATAACGGACATTCGAGCCATAACTTTAATTGAATACGTGTAGATTATCGATTAATACAAATCAATTGATTAGTAACCATATTAAAACTTCAGGTTGTAAGTATTGTAACTATGTATGGTGCCATTGAACTCGAGAAAACTTCAGGTTTTGTGTTATTCACTGAATTTTTAAAAATATGACTAAGAAATAATGTATTTTTCAATGTGAATAATATTTCAAATAAATATGTATTCGAGATACATACTCGTCGTTTAAAAATGAGAGCTTTATTTACTTCATCTGAATATAAAAACGAAATTCTATTAGTTTTTGGGTCACGTATTCCAGTACAGTATTGAATACTAAGTATAGACTAAAAGCCGCTGTAGACTTTATGAAATACGATAAGTAAAATATAAAAATGACAATAAATATTACACCGATAAATATAGTTCGATCAAGTATTTTTTTCTCTATAACCAAAGATATACGTACGTAGCTACCTTAAAAAGACATCAACGAAGCCTATGAGATATGGAACCTGTATAGTACACTGTACAGGTGTATTATCTTATAATTGTATCATATTCGTATGTATGTATGTTATGTAACTAGTTTTAAGATGTATAATTACAGATAACTATTTGAAAACAAAAAGTAATACAATAATGAGAGGCTGTAGCAACTCAGTTGGATCGTGCTGATATTCGTCATGCATATAATATTAATCATTATGTGTGTGTGTGTGTGTGTTTATAAATTCATTTGTAAAATTTAATCGTAATTATATTTTGTTAATTCATTGATTAACTCTGTATAAACATATTGTATAGAAAAATATCTTGCTTATGTTAGAGCTCTTGTATGCTATTATATAAAGAGATAGAGATTTTATTTATAAATAAAAACCTATTGCGTATGTAATAAAATGAAAATCTGTACAAAATTTTATTCCGTTATAACACAGCAGACAAATTTCATTAATTAAGGTAAACTACATCGCCGGTTGAGTCATGTGATGGCAAGTTTTGTATCCGATGCAGATTTGAAAAATAAATGATTTCCTTTGCATAGAGAATTTAATTATTTTTTGTTATTTAATGTTCAATTTTGTTTAATAGTAGCTTTTATCTTTGTTACGTTATTAATGAAAAGTAATGTAAAGCTACTTAGAGTTTAATTCATACCCTTATCTATGAATTCTTTATCTATATATCTAAGTAATCCTCTTGATATTTTAATTACATCTGTAAGATATTTATTAAATATAAATGTACCATTATAAATTTATGTAATTTTTATTTATTAAGAATTTCCTGTTACACCTTGCAGTAGGTGCTAATAAGGTACAATACGTAATATTTGTATGGAGGCTATTTAAATGTCACAAGCTACGTCGAATATAATATTAGGGAAATAATTTAAATTATAATAAATAATAATAATAAATATGTTGGGGCATTATTACACAGCGCCATCTAGTTCCATGGTAAGCTACGAGGCTTGTGTTATGTATACCAGATAGTTGATACACTACATACATATAACTTTAAATACATACTTATTATGAATATAAACACCTACGACTGGAGTACAAACATTCGTGCTGATCACACAAATGAATTCCCCCAGCGGGACTCGAACCCGCGACCGCTAGCACAGCGAGTAGGGTCACTACAAACTGAGCCAAACGTGTCGTCAAAATTAAATTAAGGTATACCTTTTTTAATCGTATATGCAAACGTTGGTCGAGATAAACTGTGGGTCATTAGTAAGTTTCTCAAGCAAAGTGTCAGATTTATCCAATCGCTGAAACACATTTATCGGGCCGGTTAATTTAATGTTTAATCGGACGGTCCCATTCAGACGTCCCAACCAATACAGATTGTAAAAGAAAATAAGCCCTCAGCGATTCGCCTTATGATCACCCGCCATTACTAAAGAAATTCATAAGTTTTTTATTTATTTTTTAATTTCGGAATAATGCAACACAAAACATACTTTAAGATGCTTGTTATTATTAATTTATTGTTATTATTAAAATTACTTTGAAATAGATTTTAATCTATGCATTTTAACTGCTTAAACCGATGTACGAGTATGTATATATACGTAGGCTATTATATAAGCTTATAATTGTGCTTAATGCTTGAATTCTTATTACATTGTATCAAACGAAAAGATTTAGTGTATTAAAGTCCTGATCAAAGAATGTAATAGGCACGAAGGATCCTTAAAAAACAACAAATATAATAGGAGTATCTAAAGCCATCACTAACTTGTTTGTATGATGCGATTAGGAAGTTAACTTAAATCTAGCATTAAAATAAAATTACTAAAATGTTTATGATTTTTTTTTCTACTACTTATCTATACTAATATTATAAAGAAGTAAAGTTTGTGAGTTTGTGACGTTGTAGAGGGTAATCTCTGGATCTACTAAACCGATTTAGATGAGATTTGGTAAAAAGATAGTTTGAGACCCTGGAAAGGACATAGGATACCTTTTATCCCAGATATCATCCTTTAAGGGGGTGAAAATGGGGATGAAAGTTTGTGTTGAGAAGCAAGCTAGGGACGAACCCGAGCGAAGCAAGGGTGAGTCGCTAGTATGATATAAATTGACTATATTGTTTACAATTTTGTTATCACTGCCAAAGCCAGTTTTATATAGTAGAGAAGCAAAATAGAGTAAAGATAGAAATATGGATTTTAGTAAATATAGTTTTAATTTTATCCTTGAACTCTAATAGCCTATATATTTATTTGTATCAATCAGGTGCGTCTCTACTCTCTACTTTTTGGAACGATTCTAGATTGAATATAAAAAGTAGCCTGTGCCATTCTTCAATTGAAAAAAAGCTTTCGTCAAGTTATTGCTGCGTAACGAAGAACAGACTAACACACTTGCATTTCTTATATTCAGTAAGGATTCAACATAGCAAAGATTTAGATTATTTGGCGATGTCAAGAGCACTTATTTACAGGTAGAGACACTAGAATTCCTGCCTGAAATGAATTATTTTTTGATATTTATACATATCAGGATAGTTTTTTTATTATATGTATACAACATTATTAGTAAATTTATATAAGGGAAATTCAATTTGAAGATTTATTTATTAATTGTCTTTAAGCGGGCCAATTGGGCTCAGATCACTTTGATCTGATCTTAAGGGAAGTTGCTCGATGTTAACTAAAAATGATATATGTTATATAGCAAATGTCAAGATTTTGTATATTATAATAGATCAACTTCCATAATTTAATTATTTATTAATATACAAAGTCTATATATTGTAGTAATAATTTTATACGAATATATTAAGGTTAACTTGTTTTACGTTCACATTAAAAAATTGTTTTATGAACTTATTAGTTCTAACTATGATTATTTGTTTTTAATGAATAAAAATAACGAAGCAAAATCATAAATGTTATAAAGTAAAAATAAACTATATTTAACG